AAATAAATAAATGAATAAATGCCTTATATTTTTACAAAAAAGAATAATGCATTTTACATTTTTAACAGTCCAAAGATATCTAACTAGGAAATAACTTTACCAAACCCTGATATTAGGTTCACAGATATTTTCAGTCATTGAGATTTGATTTTTGAGGGTCAGAAATAGTTCATTGAAGTCGGAGTGTTAGAGCTGAAAAGGAGAGTACTCATGTAAAAACAGTCACAGCTGAAAATGATCACAGTTAAAATGCCATCATAGTGCAAAGTATTAATTTCTTGGCCCTAGAAGGGCTAACATTTTGATGCACGGGAGTAGCCAAGGCAGAAAATAAAGGGGTCAAACATTTGCCGTAAGTGATCCATTTATTAACATTCTTAAATTTTTCTTTATCTCCAAAACAAATATTGGTGTATTTATAAAAGGTTCTTAATTTACTGGATGTATTAAATGATGACAATAACATGCTTCTCAACCTTCTGCCGTGTAGCATATTCACATGACCTAAGCCCCAAGAACAGGAAAACAAGCTCAGGTTACTGACATCTTGTACTGCATTAGAATTGGTTCGGGCAAGGCCCAGCTGACAGATCTGCTCGCCTGCTTCCTGCTTCAGTGCTCAAATGTTACTTCCTTTAACAGCCACACCCCTCATCCCATCTGCCCGCCAGGGCCAAGTCAGGGCTCCCAGGACTTCTCACACTTCTCTAGTCTAGTCTCTCCCACTTGACTGTGAATTTCTCAAGCCTCGGACCCTCATTTTTAGCCCATAGAGTTCCCCACCAATCTCACAGAAGAAAATGCCCACAACTTTCCCCCACCCAAATCCACTGGCCATCTGCATCTCCCTCTTCCATCACTCCTGTGCCAATAAAGAAGTCTTTCTATCGAGGGCCAGTGGCGCCATCTGTGTTCGGATCCCATCAGTTCCCCCTTTTAGGAACCCCTCTCCACGCGCTCCATCCTGTAAGCATTTATACACATGCTCAAGCCTCCAACTTAAACCAGTTCTCCCTCCAACCCACTTTCTCTCCGAATGCCCTTTCCCATTCACAATAGAATTTCTCAGCGGGTTGCCTACACTCTCTCCAATTGCTCATCACCTACTAAATCACGTAAGATACGGCTTTTCCTCCCGCCATTCCACCAACACTGCTCGAAGTCACAGCCCGAACTGCCGGGCCCCGGAACCCAGTCGCGTCTTCTCAAAGCTCCTGTCGCCAGGGCAGCAAGCGCTGCGCATGACTGACCCTCCCTGCCTTCTTGAAACGATTCTTAGCTTTGGTAACACCCCACACCTGACATTCTTATCCACTTTTTGGGAGTAATAATCTCAACTGCTGACATCTGAATAGAACGAGATTTTATAAAGCATTTCCAGGTACATTTATCACTTAATACATACTATGAATGAATGTGCCATTTGACCCTTACAACCCCAAAAGTTTACTACGTAGGTTGTTTCAGAGATGAGGAACATCAGTCCCATAGTCGAAGTAATCTGTTAAGGGTCACACAGAAAGGGTCAAACTAATCCACTAGTCAACTTCAAAACCCATGTTCCGATACTGCCACATACACAGTTAAAAATATTCAAGTTGCACTTAGAAAAAATGAAGACACAATTGATAACCTTGCAGAAATACCAAGAGCCCAATGATGCATAGTATCATCTCTGAATTTAAAAAAAAAGCAGCAGCCCTGGCTGGTTTGGCTCAGCGGTTCGAGTCAGCCTGCAGACCAGAGTCCCGGGTTCGGTTCCCACGAAGGGCACGTACCTCGGTTGCAGTTTGTCCCCGCCCCAGTTGGGGTTGTGTGGGTGGCGACCTGGTGTTTCTCTCACTTCGATGTTTCTCTCTCTCTCTTCCCCCCTCTCTCCCTCCCGCTCTATCTGAAGATAAATGCAAAAATGTCCTTGGGTGAGGATAAAAAATAAAAAAAAAAGACGAACTAAAACCTCTCAGGTCCTCTTTTCAAACATTATCTTATGTTAAGCATCTATGAAATTGTTCCTACTTAACATTTCCAAGTCTCCAACACCACCCTCACAGCAGACATCCGGTGAACACTTGAAGACATTAGCTTCAGTAGTTGATCAACTGCTGCTATAAACAACATGTGTAAGTCATTTTCCCCTTCTAAAGAAAAAGTCAGCAGCTGTTTGCTAAAAAATCTTTTTATTGTGGATGAAGACATCGCCAACTCACATATATCATTTTTATTTGGAGTATTTTTTGCCTTGCAGTGCTCCTGAGAAATTCAGAAATGCATTGACTTTTGCTCTGTAAAGCAACCCAATATTACGGATGGGTTGTAAATTTCCCACATTTAGTTATTTCCCTAAAAATCAAGACAACTTATCAATTTTAAGTACAGAAACCTTAATAAGTTAAAAGGTAAACACTGGCAAATTATCACAAATGTCAGAACATTAAAAGTGCCATTACTTTTTCCATAGGAATATATAAGACAAATGTCAAGTATAACCAACTTGATACTTACAAAATTAAATGTTTTGATGGGAGATGTTTTAAATACTTCGATATATAAAAAGCTTCATTAGCTTTAGAAATCAAATACAAATGCTGTAAGTTTCATGCCTAGTGGCACATTCCAAACAATTCTCATTATTCCCATCCCTGAGAACAGTTTTATATTTCCCACCTAAAATAAGTATTTTCTTTATCTCTCCTTTGATTAACCATTAAAAGGTTAAAATAAACTGGAGGCTTTATTTAGGGGGATAGTTAATATTTTAATTGGCTGGATTTAAGAAGTAAATTTTTCCCCCCGTTTTTTTCCTTTTAAATCAATAATGGCAGGAACTAAAACTTAAACAACCATATGATACAGAATTGTACTAAAATAAAATTCAATGTCTTGCTGGATGTTCGATTATAGTATTGGTGGTTGAAAACCATTAGGAATGCTGTGAAAATCTGTGGCAGCTAAAGCAAAATTCAACCACAAATTCTAGTAAGTTTGCAGAGAAGTAAACAGTAAAATTACTATAGTGAAAATATTGCAGTACATTTCTGTTAGTAATGTCCTATTGCTGACATTAGAATTATACGCTTCCTCACTATATGGTTGGTTACTAAGAAGATTCCTTGAGCAGATGGTTCATCTCTGACACAACTTAGTTTCAGAAAAGTAGATGAGTTATGTCTGCTTTAGATCAACAAGCACTTAGTATGCATACCAGTGGGCTATAGTTTCAATGATGATACAGCTGAAGCATTAGGTACGACAGCTTGAGTTCAAAGTCACATACTTAATTAAATAGCAGCCATGTAAGGTCAAGCTGCCCGCCCATAACAGCTTTCAAACTTACGTTAAACTATGGGGTGAAGGGGGACAGGCTGTTTTGAGAAGGGAAGAAAATACTTAAAATGTCATAAAAGGCATTTAAAATATGACAACATGCTACTTAAATACTCACTACTTAATTTTCAAATTAAAAAGAAAAAGATTTTTGGCATTTTCTATTTCTCCAAAATGAAGGATCATGTGTCTTTTTTATTTTTTAACTTAGAAACTTTTATTTCAGATGCTCCACACTGAAATGAAACTTCAATGGCAAGCAGCAAATAATTTCGGATGGTCAGTGAGTATCTTTGAAAGCATCACATAAAACCCAAAGGTAATAATGTCGCAAGAGAAACAATGGGCAGGACGCAGACAGGAGGCAGGGCAGTTCTAATGTAGAACTCAGGCCCACTTCCTCCACGGCGCTCGGCACGGCGACATGAACAGGTAGCGAGGGAGACGAGGTGTTGTGAAGCAGCTATGTCTCCGTTACTACATTCTTCAGAAAAAACAGATTTACACATTTCCAATCTTCTAAATACAGTAGAAAGTATACAGTTAATCACAGCAAAATTTACAAATAATCAAATTTAGCCCCAGTCAGGGTCAGGACTATTTACATATTTGAATTGGTGTCCTTTTCACCGTTATACAGATGTTTCTACTTTAAAGGCATATTGAAATTTACAAAATTTGCAAGAAATGTCTTTAAATATACAACTTCCACAACTAATACAAACATGAACACAATGATTAAGGTCCAAGTCAGGATATTTTATGATAAGTTAATAAAAAATTAAATAGTCCCTTATTCTTCAGTTCCAGACGCCTGGCGCTGGTGTTGCTGAAGTGACCATGAGGATGAGAATGGACAAGTCGTGGACTGACGTTTCTCTCAGATCAACATCTCAGACAGAGGCAGGAGGTGCCACGGTTAGTGATATTGCTAATCATCGTTCTGTAAATGCAGCTGTACGACTTAACACTTACATGAAAGTTGTGCGTATGTGTATGTGTGCCAAAAAAACAGTTTTAAGATGATACCTTTAAAAAGATACCTTAGCTCTTAAAACCAAATCATGTAACAACAGTATGTCCTTGACAACAGAGAGAGAACTGCTGATACATACAACAATCCGGACAGACCTCAAGGGCACTGTACTGAGTGAAAAAAGTCAATCTCCAAAAAAGTTCCATCTGTACGATGTCATTTATATAGCACTCTTGAAATGACAAATAGAAATGGGGGAGCAGTCAGTGGTTGCCAGAGGTTATAAGGGACGAGCTAGCAAGGAGGTGGTTACAGTTACAGAAGGGTAGCACGAGGGGTCCTTGATGTATCTGTACTGCAGTGGTGGTCACATGAATCCACACATGTGATAAAATTGCATAGAAACAAATACACACACATGCCACCTCAGGACACCTGTCCTCCCAGGGACAACCTTGTTCTTGGCCTGTCTACACAAAGTCCTCTAAGATGATTAATATACACTTCAGTCAACTTGCTGCACTATGCAGATAAGCCACTACTATTATCTTTTTCTTCCTTTTCTTTTTCTGGTAAATCTCTTAATTCTCTTTCAAAGACAAACCACAAGTCTCTACTAGGTTAAATGAGCTTGAAAATCAGAGAAGGAAATAAAAAGCTGATATATAGCTACAAGTATTTTTGTCTTCCTTTTTATTTTACTTATTTTTATAAGTTAAGATAAAAAAATCAAATGTTTCTAGCCTAAATTAGATCAAATCAGAGAAGGGAAAATAGCAGTAATATAGCAAACACTTACTCCTGTGACACCTGTGATTTCTAAAAGCATTAAGAATATTTTTATTAAATTGAGAGAAAGTGTAACTGCATACAAATACATGACTTTTTCCAAAAGGCCACTTCGTGATAAAATACACACACTTAGTGTTCGTGGTTCCTCTAAAGTGCTCTGTGTGTCGTCTCTGGCTTGAGAGTCACCTATTGCTTCAAAAGGTCCTTTAACACAACCCCCGCACTGTTGTCAGGCGACACTGGCAAAGGAGTAAATGTGGGCAACACATCTGAAACAGGTTTCAGAAGAAGGTGCCCAGGCCCGCCAGGTCCACGTCCACCTAGGTTAATCAGAGGCACAGCCGCGGAGCGGGGAGCCAAGAATGGATTCACATCCGTTCTTCTGCCAGACCTGGACTCTGTTGTATCTAAATGACAAAATGCAAATGGTTCAGTCTCCTATATGTTATTAATCAACACTATACATGTGTCTTAGGTTACCAGATTTGGCCCCTAAATAAATTTAATTCGTACACCGCTGGGTTCTGGATCTGATACACAGGTCTATGAAATGCAGAAGGTGAAAGGACAAGACAAGAGAAAAAAAAGGGAGAAAGAAAAGAGGAGAGCCTAGCCCATGTGGCTCAGTGGATTGAGCGCTGTCCCACGGACTGAGAGGTCCTGGTTCAATTCCTGGTCAGGACATATGCCCGGGTTGCAGGCTCGATCCCCAGTAGGGGGCGTGCAGGAGGCAGCAGAGCAATGTTTCTCTCTCACATAGATGTTTCTATCTCCCTCCCTTCCTCTCTAAAAAAATTAAAAAATATATATATATTTTAAACAAAAAAGAAAGAAAAGGCGAGAGAAGATTTAAATGTATAATTAATACTTCATTAAACACATTAATGTTGTTTTATATTTAAATACAAGTTATATAAGTGATAAACTTAATTACTATTGAAGAGGAACAAAAGTCTTAATTTTTAAGCTGGTAGTTAAGAAAAGATCAGAAACTTTGAGCCTCCCCCGTTTCCTGCCTAAGAGATTCAGAGGGAAAGACCTACGCAGTGGGACATCTGAGGAGGCGGGCCTCCGCAGCTGATTTGAGCTGAGCATGGTAAACAGGAGGATTTGTGCCGGGGCCTGCAAGCTGATCCACAGTGGCCAGTGCATCTGAGCTGCTGAGCAAGGGTCTTCCTGTCGTGTGGGCTCCGCCCTTCCTCAACCACCTATAAATCGCCCGTTCCCACTTTTGAACTCTCAGACACCTAGCCATCCCCCCTTTTCTGTTGTCCAAAAGTTCATTTATACCCAATGTTGCCTCTCTTTGGAATTTTCATGCTTATGTGAATTTCCCACCCATATATATTAAAATTTTGATTTTTCTCTTGTTATTCTGTCTGTTAATTTGATTATTAGCGTAGATGGAAGAACTTAGGAGGTGGGAAGAAAAGTATTTTTTAACTCCCACACTACAACAAATCCAGGATTAAGGACTAAACCTTAATCCTGCAAACCCCGAACAACTCAGAACATCAGTGGCTTTTGTCTCTGATCAATACCAATCGGGCTGGGCACAGGACTTGGTAACTGAATGGAGGAGAGCTGGAGGGAGGAGGAGGAGAAGGGAAAGGGACTGAGAGGGGAGAAGGGAGGAAAAAGAGAGACCTTGCCATAATGAATTTTGGAATCCTCTTTAAGATGCTATGACCTAGTATAGTAACAAAAAGTATTTTTAGTATAGTCTATACCTATTAAAGACTTTTCACTAAATTTAGCAGCCAAAACTTTTATCTAAACAACAAATAAATTTTACTACTTTCTCTTTCTATAAAAGTTGAGAAAAACATAACTATTTGTCTAAATGACTAAACACACTTTTAAATGTTCTGAAATAAATTATTTAATATTCTATCCAGATTTAAGCATCTGGCCCTGGCCAGTGTTGCTCCATGGTTAGAGCGTCGGCTGGTGCACCAACGAGTCTTGGGTTTGATTCCCAGCCCAGGGCACATACCTGGGCTGCAGGTTAGATCCCCAGCCCCGGTTGGGGTGTGCAGGAGGCAGCCAGTTGATGTGTCTCTCTCACACTGATGTTCTCTCTCTCTCCTCTTCCTCCTCCCTCCCTCCCTTCCACACTAAAAATCAATGGAAAAAATATCCTCAAGTGAGGATTAACCACAACAACTACAAAACAAACTGAAGTATCTGACATGTGATATTAACTTAGGAGTTTATTGTAACATATATGTAACTTTACAGTTCCACCAGCAAACATGTTAGTCTAAATTAAAATGTAAAGATTTCAGAAAAAAAAGGACCTTAAAATAAAGAATCTGTTTGTAGTTTAAAGGATATACTTAAATTTTAACTCAAGAAATTTTACTGCATGCTAATATAGGGGATACAAATATAAATAAGACCCTTATAAACTAGTGGAATAAAAAATTATGTATAGCCCAGCCAGTGTGGCTCAGTGGTTGAGCATCAACCCATGGACCAAGAGGTTGCTGGTTCGATTCCTAGTCAGGGCACATGACCAGGTTGCCGGCTCGATACCCAATGAGAGGCATGCAGGAGGCAGCTGATAGATGTGTCTCTCTAATCAATGTTTCTTTTTTTTTTTTTTTTTTAATCCTCACCCGAGGACACTTTTCCATTTTTTTTTGTTGTTGTTGTTCAGATAGAGTGGGAGGGAGAGAAAGAAAGGGGGGGGGGGAGAGAGAGAGAGAGAGAGAGAAACATTGACATGAAAGGGACACATCGAGTGGCTGCCACCAGCACGACCAACCAGGGCCGGGGACGAACTGCAATTGCGGTACACACTCTTAGCGGGAACTGAACCTGGGTCTCTCTGGACCACAGGCTGATGCTCTAACTGCTGAGCCAAACCAGCCAGGGCTCTAATCAATATTTCTCTCCCTCTCTCTTTCTAAAAATCAATAAAAATATATTTTAAAAAATTATGTACACAAACTGTAGTGCCATCAAACCATTTGCTTCTAGGCAGATCTTTCAACATATAAGAATGCTTCCTAACGTTCTTGGATATCTAAGCCAGATTAAACCACTTATAAATGTCATTAATATACCAAGGTTTGGTATTGAACATGATACTTTGATTTTTCACAGGGGAAAAACATCTTTCCCTAATTGTAAGCTACCTTTATCTGATCAGAAATAAGCACCACTAATGAGAAAGGGAAACAGGCGACCAAACAAAGGCTTACCATTTAACTGTCTCTTCCGTGAAGAGTAATTCAGAGTGGCTTATACAGAGAACAACTGAACTGACATACAAGGGGAAAATATTTCGTATTGTTTAAATTAATCTAAACCAATTAAATATCAGGTTATCACAAGACTATATGAAACCAAAATATTATGTCTCATTAGAATTTTGAAAGAAGTCATTGCATATTTCCAAGAACACTAAAAATGTAGTTAATAGCCCTGGCTGGTTTTGCTCAGTGGTTAGAGTGTCGGCCCGCGGACTAGAGTCCAGGGTTCAGTTCCTGCTAAGGGCACATACCTCGTTTGCAGTTTGTTCCTGGCCAGGTTGTGGTTATGTGGGTGGCAACCAGTCGATGTGTCTCTCTCACATCGATGTTTCTCTCCCCGCCCCCCTCCTGCTCTATCTGGAGATAAATGCAAAAATGTCCTTGGGTGAGGATTAAAAAAAAAATTTTTTTTAAATGTAGTTAATATCACTGTAAAACATAATCATGTTAAATATTTAATTTTTTTAAATGTAAAAAAAATAAATATGTGGTTCTACCTTGAAAACTTTCCAGTACATTTGTATCTAGCTTCCTCCTTGGTGAATCCAGAGGTCTCATATCATGAACTGAAAGCTTTGGCGGCGGAATAGATGGGTGAGATTCTGTTTCTAGAAATTTAACAAAAAGTTCTGAAAAAGACTAAGAAAATAATATTTGGGTTATATTAGGCAGATATTAAAATTGTGTTCACTATAACTTAGAAAATATACTAGCTATTCTAATATTAAATACTAATCATGCCATCTGAATCATTTCTTTATATGCTTTATGAATAATTAAAAGTGGAAGCACTTTAATTATATAGGTATCAAGTAAAATCTTTAACTTAATAATCTTTGATGACAACACTTTACAAACTGATAGAATTAGCCACCTGCTAACACTTAGATTTCTTAAATCATTTTAATAACTGTTTACATACACATGAAAACTTATAGTGATAGAAAACAAATATTAAACTCATATTTTTCAAAAGTAACATACACTCAATAAATATAGCAAAAGCTCACCAATAATTTTATCAGATTAAAATAATGTAGTGTAGACCTTTCCTTTAAATTTGATGCCATCCACCTGGCCGGTGTGGCTCAGTGGATGAGCGTCGACACATGCACCAAGAGGTCGCCGGTTGGATTTCTGTCAGGCACATGTCCAGGCTGTGGGCCTGGTCCCCAGTTTAGGGCATGCAGGAGGCAGCTAATTGATGTTCTCCCTCATCAATGTTTCTATCTCTCTCTCTCCCCCTCTAAAATTGATAGAGAAATAAATTATATTTTATGCCATCCAATTTAAAATAGGGTTTTATCTTTAGCAAGCTGTGGGTAGGTCGCCTATCTTCAGTTTCCTCTGCATTAAAAAAATAAAATAAAGAAATAACCTCCACATTTTAACTCACAGTGTTACTCAATTCAATTAATATTCATCTTTAGCCTACTACATAACAGGCACTATTTTTCATGCTTATTAACTGCCTCCTTCTACCAGAGGAATTTTGTTGAGGGCAGGCACTGCATCTGGTTTGCTGCTGCATCCCCAGTGTTTAGCATTCCCAATGCTTAGAACAGCTGAGTACCCAATAACCAGGTAGATTCATACATACATAAAATAAAGCCTCTATCTTTAAGAATTTCATAATTTAGTAGTAAGACAAATGATTGTATGCCTATAGTATCATGAGTAAATACAAATAAAGGAATAGTTAATACTTTGAAAAATAAAAGTGCTATATAAATAAAAAGCTAAAATAAAACCTATATGCAATAAAGTTTTTAAACCTTGCTTATTGCCCTTAAGCCAGGATCTCAGTTTCCACAACTTCAAAATAAAAGGGCTGTATAAAATAACCTAAAAAAGAAATCTGATTCTTTTCAAATGAATGTGATGTACAACCATTTTACTATTCATATTCAGCAAAAATAAAATCAGCTCTTACACTATTAAATACAGATTGCTGACTTGGTCTCAGAGGTGTGTTGGGGACACTTTTTGATCCTCCTCCAAGCCACCCAGTCATCCATCTGGTAACTCCACCTTGATCTTCATTCAACAACTGAAAAATTATTTTAAAACATAAAAGTAGTATCAGTACAAGAAAAAAATTAAAAACCATTTTTACATAATTTCAGATGGTAGCGAAACATAGTTTTCAAGTCTTAGTAAATGTTTCCTACTGAGAGAGGCTACAAATATAATGAAATGTCCGCCCAAACACTATCTTGAACAAAAGTTGAAGACAATCACATCTCAAAATTTCAGCATTATGATAAGGGAGGTGGCAAGTAAGTTAAAAAATATTTAAGTTAATATTATACAAATTGCACAAGTCCATCCTTCACTGTAATATGAAATAATTCCATTTTCAAATTACTGAGAAAACTGTGTTCAGGAAAAGTTATATAATATATAGTGAAAGAAAATTTTATATGATGCCACTATTTTAGTTATAAATATATTCAGACTGCCTTTCATCATTCAGTTACCTGCTCCATTTCCTCCCTTTTGATACCCAGGATGCTTCCCATTAATCGTAACACTTCATGTCGCTGATTTTTTGGTGTGTGGAAATGTCCAATGAAGAGGTTTCTCATTAGGATTCTATGAAAATAAAGGTAGAAACAGCTCAAGCTTACTCAACAAGCTATCGCAATATTTAGTGTACCGAAATAATAAATATGTACTAATCATATAGATATTTAATTAAACTTAAACAATACTTAATTTTAAGAAACAATAAACAGTAATATATTTTTAAGTAACACCTAAAAAAATCTTGACCTGTCTAATTAAGACTATTTCAAACCCAAAACTTATATCCAAAAAACATCATTTATTAGCAACCCATTTTTTTCAACCAAATAATTAAATGAGATAGTGATCATTTGTAATACTCAGTACCTGTCTGCACTGACATCAACTTTAAAGAGACACTTTAGATTTTTTCCCTCCCCACCTCAAGTGACAATGATAGTTAGTGCACTTAATGGTTATGCTTACATTTCCCCACTCTTATTAAAAATCTACTAATATGGCCCTGGTTTGCTCAGTGGTTAGAGCGTTGGCCCGTGGATCATGAGTTGCAGGTTCAATTCCAGTCAAGGGCACGTACCTCAGTTCCAGTTCGTCCCTGGCCCTGGTTAGATCATGCGGAGGCAACCAGTCGATGTGGCTCTATTACATCGAAGTTTCGCTCTATCTCTCTCTCTCTCCCTCCCTCCCACTCAATCTGATGAGAAATAGAAAAATATCCTCGGGTGAGGAATAAAAAAAAAAAAGTACTAATATGGAAATCTGTAAAATACTAAAGATATAAGATATATGCTATACACACACACACACACACACACACACACACACACCCCTAGATTTCAGATCTAACACATCTGAGCAAAATAAACAGTAAAAAGAGCAAGCAAACCCTGACCGGTGTGGCTTAGTTGGTCAGATGCACCCAAAGGTTGCTGGTTCGATTCCCAGTTAGGGCACACTCCTGGGAGTTCAGGCTTGATCCCCAGTAGGGATCGTGCAGGAGGCTCCCAATTGATGTTCTGCTCTCATATCAATGTGTTTTTTTGGGTGTGGTACGTCCCCCTAGCAGGAACCGAACCCGGAACTCTCTGGTCCACAGGCCGATGCTCAACCACTGAGCCAAACTGGCCAGGGCTCATATCAATGTTTTTCCTTCTCTCTCTTTCTCCCTTCCTCTTTCTAAAAATCTATTTAAAGTCTTTTTAAATAAAAAAAGAGCAAAAAAAGAAAGAAAAACCTTTTCTATTTTCTAAGTGTGGTGACGTTTTAACTTTTCCATATAGTTAAAAAAAAAAATAATTTGAGCTGGAAAAATCTATTTAAAAGCCAAGAGAAGAGGCCCTGGCCAGTTTGGCTCAGCAGTTAGAGTGTCGGCCCACGGACCAGAAAGAGTCCTGGGTTCGGTTCCCACTAAGGGCATGTACCTCAGTTGCGATTTGTCCCTGGCCCCAGTTGGGGTCATGTGGGTGGCAACCAGTCGATGTGTCTCTCTCACATTGATGTTTCTCTCTCTCTCTTCCTCCCTCTCTCCTTCCTGCTGTATCTGAAGATAAATGAAAAAAAAAAAAAAGGCTAAGAGAAGAGAAATTATTCTGACCCTTCATTAAAACTACCTACATTATATCACTATATAAGAAAAAGAAAAGGTTTTTTAAAAAACCTAACCACATATAAACATCTACATGTAGCAGTCTTTACCATCAAAGTAATCTTCATAAAATATATAAAAGTTAAAAGGCAGAGAGAACATACTTGTCTACTTTTCCTTCTGCACTGTTCACTACATTCATCAATTTCTTTTGTACATCATCCAGCATTTCTTGTCGGAGCTCATCTGTTTTAAAACATGTGAATAAAGATAGTCATTAACTGATTAAAATCATCTGGATGAATATCAGATTTAAGGCATCTTTACTGTGAATTCTGAATATATGCACTTACTCTAATTAGGCATATTCGATCACTTCCATCTCATCTCTTTTGGTTTAGTGAACTACATTTGCTGGTATGGAATTTACCTGGAAGCTAGAGTATGTATTAATTCATATGGTTTACGCCTAATAAAGCAATAGATTCTTTAGCAGAAAATGTAAAAGAAAGAAAAAGGTTGTCTTTCTCTTCAGAAACAACAGCAAAGAAGAGACTTTCACCACTGCTTCCTTGCATGAAATATTTCCAGCTTTCTCTAATGGGAGGAAATGGAAAGGACAACTTTAGATTTCCCTTTTTCCGTTTTCCTGGCTGGATTCTGCTTTTTGATGAGCTAAAGTATCTAACACAACTAAGACCACAGCTCAAGATGTAGCTGATAGGGCAAATTCTGGGGTAAATAAATTGCAATACAATTCATATCACTCATTCTAACATACTAATCAAGATACTATAACTTATGATTGATTCAGGAGGATGTTTGGACTATTTTATTTTAAAATTCTTATTTTAAAAAAAAGTGAAATTTGTAACATCTTGGTGGAATAATTCGAATTTAAACAGTATTAAAAGCAAAGTCTAGAATTTCAACAGGAAATACCCTGTTCATAAATTCAACCATGCCACAGGGCCAAGGATTCCTAGACTAAGGAAATCTCAGCCAAACCCACAGAGTTTACACCTATTACCTCAAAAATGAACAGTTTGAGCTGAAGGAGAGGCTTATTAACGCCAAGCTAGATTACAAACTTCATTCCGAAGGAAATGGAGAGAAGACCGCTCTGCAGCGGAGCTCCACTTTTCAATCAAGGAACACTCATCCCCACACACTACAGTCTGAGCTCTTTCCAAAAGCCTCTTCTTTGAGTTAGGCTGCCTTTTCCCAGTAGTAGCCAGAGACAAGTTCCCTATCAGAGATATGACTTGCAAATATGTTCTCCCATTCTGTGGGCTGTCACTTCACTTTCTGGATGGTATCCTTTTAAGTACAAACATTTTTAATTTTGTTGAAGTCTTAACCTGTTTTTTGTTGTTGTTGTTGTTGTTTGTTTGTTTTCAGTGTCATAGTGAAGAAACTGTGGCTTAACTCAACATCACAAATTTACCGTTATGTTCTAAGAGTTTGACAGTTTTAACTCTAAAATGTAGGTCTATGACCCATTTAGTTTTTGTGATTGGTGTGAGGTAGGGGTCCGACTCTGTTCTTGTGCACGTGGAAATCCGGTTGTTCTAGCACCGTATGTTGAAAACTATTCTTTTGGCATTCTTGTTGAAAAGCTATTGACTACAAAAGTACAGTTTATTCTAGACTTTCAATTCCCACTGCAAGACTGTGTACATGGTTTTTCTTCTGCCTGGAAAGCTCTTTCCCATCGGCACTACCTATTAACCCCTAGTCATGCTCGTCTTAGTTCTCAGGTCACTCCCTCAAAGAAGTTTCCTCTGAACCTTACAGACTGAGCCAGTCCATCTGCTTTATGTTTTCATTCTGTTGGGACAATGCCTAAAATTCTGACTTATATATAGTACTAAACGTATATAGAAAATATCCAAAACTGTTTGCAGTGGCTTATGGGTTTTCTAAATTGCAAAAATCTAAATTGCAAAATGTAATTCACATAATAGGCTAACTTTACCAAAATAGAGATGGTTGCCATAACCATATTATAAAAGTGAGGTTTGTGTTCGGAAAATCTACTAGTTTCCTTTCCTGTGTTCCCAGTAAGAAATTTAAGCTTGGGGTGGGGTGGGGGGGCAGGGGGGGAGAACGAACAAGACTATTATTAAAGTTGGAGTCAGTAAAAGACATTTTAAATTCTTAATGTGCACATATATACTATGAACACATGGTACTCTTTGGGCCTTTTCTAGTACTACATTTTGAATATAAATAGAACTCAACTATTCAGAGGAAAAGCAGTAAATAAATTAACCACTGTGAATTAACCCTCGCACTCACAGCTAAAGGCAGAGCCAGAGTAAAGATGGCCTAGTCTTCCCTTTCTCTCCTCCTCAAGGCTAGAGATAGGGGGCAGAGAGAGCTCAAACTTCTCTTACCCTACCTGTCCTTCCTCTGGGATTTCCCTTCTCCTAACTACTTTCTTCTAAAATCAATTATTTTTTATATTGATTACATGTCAAAATGATAATATTCCTGACATACTGGGTTATATAAAACATATTATTAAAATTAATTTCACCTGTATCTTTTAATTTTTTAATATGGTTACCAAGAAATTTAAAATTATATATGTGCCTTGCATTATTTTTGGATAGCACTACTTTAGAGCATAATCAGGATATAACCTCTACACATATTGTCTCTTATTAAAAAAGAAAAGACAAAACTGAATAGTAGACATATTCAGAGTAAAATTCACAAAGCAAAGAGCTGATTCTGATAAAATGATTTAGTAAAATAAATTAGAAAAATAAAACTTTGCTCTATGTAAAGATGATCAAGAAATCTGTCTTAAGTTTGTCAAAAATATTTTCTTAAAGAAAATTCATTAATATGGATATAAATTTATTAAAATCTTTGTGGTCTGTAAGGTGGGGTTAAAACATCATTAAGGCAAAATATCAGGGTCAACATTTCTTAAACTCACAATCAGAATACAAGTTAGTATTGAGCTCATGTGAAAGAAATGGTAACTGTATGTCCTTGCAGGCATGCACAGGGTTGTTTCAAATCCAAGCAGTAGTTCAGATGTATTCTGATAACTGAGTCTAGAAAAACCCTCAGAATTTGGGGGATGAGGTTGGAAGGCTTGTATGAACTAGGAAAGGTTTAAAAAAGTAAAAGTCAAGTACTTCAAAGGTCCCCACAGACGTTTTCTCTCCAGGCACCCTTACTCTCTTCCCATCAGAGATTCTAAATATTTCTCCACAAAAACTGAACACTAATTCAAACCACAACTTGAAATCAGAACAGTATTTATATGGGCAAGCAAAAATACAGTCATTCAGAAATGGGTTTTTAGCCAAATACAATATCCCCGTGAAATAATCTAACATGCCAAAAATATACTTGAAGTTAAAAAAAGAGAGACAGAAGGCACGGGGTACACTTTAAAGTTGAGCAATAAGGCAACTGAGATTTAGTTAGTTTGGGGAAGAGTTACTCTGAAGAGATGAGATCCTAACACCTGCTTTCTCAAACCCTCTTCTCTGTAATGCCTAGAGATGGCACCATGATCTTCACCACTTGATTTAAAATGAAAACTGAACATAAAATGTAATTGACTACAACAGATTAGCACATCATAGTTTTACATTTTATTTGTGATGAATAACATTGCACTATAATACCGGCTTCAGAGAACATCGTAAAATTAAGTCACACCCCTTACAAAGTCATTCGGCTATTTCATGACTAAGCTTTCTTGGACTAGACTCAAGTCAGTTTTAACAGTCACCTGACTAAGAATGGTGGTTGGAGCAGGAGAGGCAGACCTGCATATGATTTATGGTCCTGTCACAAGACTTGGATAAGAATTACTGTTCTGCCACTAGGGCCAGACTTTGTTGCCTATTTTATAAAATGAACATGCTTATCTCAAAGAATTTTTAGAGAGTCTGAGTGATTAAATGTGACTTTTCTAAACAAGAAAGTGCTATATAAAGCATTAGTATTAATTCATCTGATTTCTTAAAATATCACCTTTCAACCTAGCCCTAACCAATATCAATAATATATATCACTTTGGTTAACATTAACGCCGATCATTTTTCCTCCATTTTTCTTTGTCATCTTTGTGAACAAGGCAAAGGAATCAAAAGAAGGAAGAAAAATGTTACAAAGATTATTCCATTTATAGATATTTCAGTAAATAAACTGGGTCTTGTGTTTTACTTACACTGGCTACCTAAAAAATTTAAATCTAATACATTAAATCTGATATATAAAAATTTAGCCTTTTAATTTAATTAAACATAATCAAAGCAAAAGCTAGAAATTTGATGTTTATTACAAAATTTCAACTTATGCAAGATCACTTTCATTGTCACACCAAATAATATTTTTAAAAGGCATCTTAGCGCCTGGCTGGAGTGGCTCACAGTTGGTTGAAGCGTCGTCCAGTGCACTGAAAGGTTGCTGGTTTGATTCCCAATCAGGACACATACTTGGGGGTTTGGTCTCTGTTACTGGGCAACCAACTGATGTCTCTCTCTCTCCCCCACAACCCTTCCTCTCTCTAAAGCATGTCCTCAAGTGAGGATTAAAAAGGAAAAAAATTAAAAGGCATCTTATATTTATTTACATTTGAAGACATATTTGCTTATTTTTTAACTAAATTCTTTCAACCATATCAGACACAGAATTTTAAAGTGTAGAGTACATGCTGGATACTTTCTTCTTCCATAATTATAATTATTACTAGATCAGAATCAGTGATTTAACAGAAATAGCAATGCTGAGGTCTACTGGATTATTTATAGTTAAATTTTAGTTACGATGTGCATTTGAAAGAGATTTTACATACATTTTTAATGTAACCAGATCAAATGTACTCTCTCCACCCTCTTCCCTCAATCCTTTAGTATGAATTCTGATATTTTGTACTGCATTTTCCATTTTAGAACAATTTTTTAATGTGAGTCATTATATATTTAATTTGTAAAGGTTCACATAGCTCAGCCATATCCCCCCAAACAGGAAGGCAATTTTGTCAGTGAAAAGTAAAGTAATTATAATAATTTTGCCACTTACTGAATAACATCATCACTACAGACAATACACTAATGACAAAAGGCTTTCTAGGCTGAAGACTGGACCTTACCTCATTCCTCAAAGCTCCCTGTTGCAAATCAGTATGGAGAAATTTGGCCCCCAAAAGGTTATGTTTAGCCCACATAGGGTTTTCAGAACAAGCTCACTTAGGTGTCACAATAAAGAAATGG